TTTAATGTTTTCTGCATATTCACAGAAATGTGATTTTTCCTCTGAAATCTGCTTTTGCTGTGTTCCACAAGTGATCATTCTTTTTTATTTTTTCATATAGAATATTCTATAGACACAAGAAAAATTATTTCTTACTACTTTCTTAATAATTTTCTCATAAATTTAAACAAGAAAATTATAAATGCTGGAAAAGAGGTGGGAAAATTGGAACACTAATGCATTGTTGGTGGAGTTGTGAACTGATCTAACCATTCTGGACAGCAATTTGAAACTATTCCCAAAGGGCTATAAAATTGTGCATACCCTTTGATCCAACAATAGTACTTCTAGGGCTGTATCCCAAAGAGATCATAAAAATGGGAAAAGGACCCACATGTACAAAAATATTTATAGCAGCTCTTTTTGTGGTGGCCAAGAATTGGAAATTGAGGGGAGACCCATCAATTGGGGAATGGCTGAACAAGTTGTGGTATATGAATGTAATGGAATACTATTGTGCTTTAAGAAATGAAGAGCAGGTGGACTTCAGAAAAACCTGGAAAGACTTACATGAACTGATATTGAGTGAAGTGAGCAGAACCAGGAGAACATTGTACACAGTCACAGCCACATTATGCAGTGACTAACTTTGATAGACTTAGCTCTTTTCAGCAATATAAGGATCTAAGACAACTCCAAAAGACTCATGATAGAAACTGCTATCCACATTCAGAGAAAGAACTATGGAGTCTGAATGTAGATCAAAGTATACTATTTGCTCTCTCTCTCTCTCTCTCTCTCTCTCGTTTTATTTTGTTTTGTTTTGTTTCTTCTTTCTCATGATTGCTCCAATTTGTTCTAATTCTTCTTTACAACATGACTAATGTGAAAATATGTTTAATAAGAATGTATTTGTATAGCCTATATCAGATTGCATGCTATCATGGAAAGTAGGGAGAGGAGGGTGGTGGAGAAAATTTAAAACTCGAAGTCTTACAGAAGTGAGTGTTGAAAACTTCAAATAAATTAATTAATTTAAAAATTAAAAAAAATTTCTCATAAATGGAATTTGATAGTGTTTTCTTTTGTATGTTTTGATTGTACATAGCTCATATATTTTTTCACCATTACTGTTTTTGCTTACCTTCTTCCAGTTTGTCTTTCACTTCAAGATATTTGTGTTCCAAATATGTTGTTCTCTCTTTCACTTTTTTGGGATCCATATTTTGTTTCAACTCACCCTCTGAATTGAGTGTACAATCATTTGCAAACAAAAAATTGTGTGCCAACTCTCAATCCACTTTAGTCTTGGCTTTTTAAGTTAAATAATTTACTGTCAGTTCAGTAGCTGACCTTTATATCATTTTCATCCTCATTGAAGGGGTCTGACAACATTACTGAAAACACCATGCTAAGCATGGGAAACAAGCACACAGCCCTGTTTCACTCCACTGGTAACTAGGAAAGCATGAGAGCATTGGCCATTATCCAGAACCCATGCAAACATGCCTTCATGAAATTGACGTGTAATATTGATAAACTTCTCTGGGCAACCAAATTTTGCCATAATTTTCAATAAGTCCTTGTGACTGACAGTATCAAAGACATTGGTCAGACTGATGAACTTTGTGTTTTGCTCCTGGCATTTTTCCTAGAGTTGTCAGGCAGCAAATGCCGTATCAACATTTCACCAGCCCTTTCTAAAGGCACACTGACTCTCAGGTAGATGACTATCTTCCAGGGGATGGACAAGCCTATTAAGGAGGACTCTGGCAAGAATCTTGCCAGCAATGATTAAGAGAGACCCATTGTGATTGTCACAGGATAATCTATTTCTTTTACCTTTATAGAGATGGAAAATGGAAGCATCCTTGAACTCCTAGAGGATAAGCTTCTCTTGCCATATAACTTGGAAAATTTCAATTCATACCAGTGGAACCCCTGCCTTGCAAATTTCAACTGGAATAGAATCAGCACCAGGTGCTTTGCCACGTGAGAGAAGCTAATGGCATTCAAAACCACTTCTTTAGTTGGAAGTTCATGTAGAGGGATTGACTTCAACCTAAGGTGACTACAGCTCCCAGTGTATCCATACCTGCCACTTCATCATTTGCCTGTAGCCACAAGACTTTGAGGTAGCTAAAAATGGTAAAATAGTATGGGTGATGTCTTTTGATTCACCCATAAATTGGATTTAAGGCAGAATTACATGAAATCATCAGTCCAGTGGCAAGACATAGTAAAGGTGACTGGCAATGGCTCAGGATACAGTGGCATCTTCAATGTCTAAGCAAATTCTCAGTGCTCCACAATGCCTGCTTCAGCCACTTTCATGACTGCTGGAACAAATTGTTCTTATTCACCCATTCCACCAGAGGAAGTCTTCACATGCTTGGGGTAGACAAGCCCCTAACTTACCAAAGGGCTTGAGATGCCTTGGTTACCCTCAAACTGATTTAGTCCATCTGCCAAAATAGTTTACTGGGGTATGGCCACTGTACATGCTACAGCTTTTTGGAGACACAGGTAAGAGTTGGGTAAATCAGGTGGATGCCAAGGTGGAAAGTAGTACTGAAAAGGGCTCAGCAGCCCTCATACCAAAGGCACTAATGACTAGTGACTAAATGCCCTCCTATGCCAACGTCTGAGCAATGCTCCTCTGTGCCGGGGCTTAGAGATTACCCTGTACCAAGGATTGAGTGTTATCATCATATTCCAGGTTCTGAATGTTGACTATCTAGTCTGGTCTCTCCTAAACACACCATAAACCCCCCCCCCCCAAATATTGGTATTGCTGGATCAAAGGGTATGCACAATTTGGTTGTCCTTTGGGCATAGTTCCAAATTGCTCTCCAGAATGTTTGGATCTGCTCACAACTCCACTAACAGTGCATTGGTGTCCCACTTTTCCCACATCCCTCCAATATTTATAATTTTCCCTTTCTGTCATATTAGCCAATCTGATAAGTGTGAGGTGGTTCCTCACAGTTTTAATTTGCATTTCTCTAATGAATAGTGATTTAGAGCATTTTTCCATATTGCTATAGATAGCTTCAATTTCTTCATCCAAAAACTGCCTGTTCATATCCTTTGATTATTTATCAATTGGAGAATGACTTGTATTCTTATAAATTTGTCTGGTGCTGCTCTGATGGGGTGGCGTGGGGTCGGGTGAAGTAGCTGGTGCTGCTGGAGGCTGTAGGAATCTGGCAGCTTGCCTGATGCTGAGCTGGAGTCCTACTGCTTGTGTCTGGTGTATGCTGAAGCTAGTGGGGGTGTTTTTTGGTTTCCCTGGGACTTGTTGAAGTATGTGGAGTTCTGGCTCCTGGAGTCTGCCTGTTCTCCTGGCTATGCTGAGGCATGGAGGGGATCCTGGTATTAGTGTTTGCTTGCACTACCACACTGGGGCTCAGGGTCTCCCACTGGTTTGCTGAGGTGGCAATCTTCAAAGTCTCGTGGGCTGGTTCTGCTCTTCCAGGATTTGTTTCAGGGTGTTATTTTATGGTTGTTTGGAGGTGAATATGGAAGAGTTATGGTGATTTATTGCTTATTCCACCATCTTCCATACATTTCTTTAAAAAAAATTATTTAGAAAATACTTACATTTCTAGTCCCCTGCCATACTCCTATCTGGTTTCCGTCCCTGTGGTTTTATGTAGTAGCTTTAATGAATTATCAGCCTATTTTTAAATCATATACTCCATGGCTTCTGGGGTGGGGTTGGGAGAATGGAAGAATAGAGGAAAGAGCTCTGGACTTACACAGAGCTTGGTTCTATCCTGGGATCCTGAACCCCCAAATGAATCATTATTGACCTCTGGTTCTGCTCTCATCCTTGAGTAACTTCCAGAAAATTGCTGACACAAAGCTTAGGCATGACTTAGGTCTAGGGTTTCCCTCAAATATAGGCAACAGGCTTCTCTGTAAAAAAAAAAAATACTCAATGTACAATATGATTATCAAGTTAGTGGTTTATTTCCTCCACCACAAAAATGCATAAAACACAAATTATTTAGTGTATGAACAGATACAGGAATCATAATATATCTTAAATGGCCTCATTAGACTCGTCCCCCCAAAATAAAGACCATGACTGGGACAGCTGGATTGATATTTTGCATTCACTTTAGACCTGTACCATCTGGCTAACTGACAAGTTCATCTCTCCTGGAATGGCTGCCTTTAGTCCTTCCCAGCTACAGGATGATCCTAGCAATGATCATTTTGTCCCTTGAGAAGCATTTTGTTGCAAAAACTTAAATTTAGATTCCTAAATCTTAAGATTCTTTAACTCTTCACCCATGAGGTAACTAACCACCAAATGCAAGAAAGATCCATTTCTAGTTGCTAAACTATATTCAAGGAAAGGCAAAAAGAGGCAACCTGAGACTTAAGGTCCATTTCATGCTTCCAAGTGATTTTGCTATAAGCTATTAGTGCTTTTGGGAGGAGGGCAGAGAAATTCCCTCCTTCCTAATTGCCTGGAAGTTCAAGGATGAGAAAGTCTGTCCAACAGGAGACAAGTCCAAAGAAGAAAGGTTGAAGGTTGGACCTTCACTTTGAGGGGAAGGTTCCTCAGCAGTTACTAGGGGACCAATCAGGAGTTGTATCATTCCAGCAAGGCTTGTGTTTCTTGTAACAAATTAGGGCTTTCTATTATTATCTTAGAAAAATGAAATTATACAATTTTAAAGCTAGAAGAGACAAGTCCTGAAGATACATTCTCTAGGGAATTTAACTAATATATGACGTAATAAAACTCCTGCCCTTACTTTCCCCTCTCCCACCATTTGTTACTTGTTCTCATTTCAAGGAAAAAAACCACTTTAAGAAGCCTGATGGGAAAACACAAATGAGGATTGATCCATTTGTGAGAAAAGATGAAATTAGAAGAATAAGAGGATATAATCTCTTTTAAAAGGGGAGGGGTACTCAAAAAGTCACAAATATAATGTAAGAGATATTTATTTAAATTTTGCACAAGAATTTAATCAAGTACTATTAAATGTACACACACACACACACACACACACACACACACACACACACCCCAAAGTAAGTAGAGATGACTTTCCTGTCAGAAAACATTAAGCATCCATGCCTATACATTTTTTTTCTGTAACTTGTTTCAGGTATTTTTTTTTTCTGAGTATGTATTATACATAAAACATCATAGGTTCTTTATCTATCTTGTAAAAAATGTTTTCCATTCACTGACTAAAAAAGTTATAGTGAGGACCCCAAGCAATATGTGAAGATAACATAAGCTATAATTTTCTGCACCAAATGAAGAAAGCTGCCTTCAAATATCAAGCAGGATCAGTGTCTGTTTCCAGTAGTTTTGACATCACTATGTATTCCATACTCATCCCATATAGTCAGGTCAAAAACAAAATAGCCAGAAGTGTATTCTGACTTAATCCATTGATTTTTCCTTCTGAGGTTTCCTCAAGATCTATAAATTCTATAATTAAAAGCTCAAAATAGATCCACATGTTCACCACATGCAACTGGTCCAATTTTGGTTTTGACTATGAGTTTTTGGACTTTTTTTTTTTTTAGTAAAGTAAAAGTCTTTAACCAGAAACCTCTTGGCAGAGACAGATGTTAACTTCATAGTTCCTGAAGGCACTGTAGATCCACTGTACAACAGACATGACCATTCTGGTAGAAGGGAGGAAAGAATGATGTTAATTTTTTAAAGTCATAAGCAAATTATTTCTTTAAAAAGAACATTTCTACAGCTGTTTTAATCTAAAGTATAACCAAATTTCTATTATAGTGACCAAATTACATTTGTTAACTCTTTGTTGTCTTCTTCTTTCACCACCCAGCATATCCTTGGACCTAATTCTTTCAATTTTAAGGTAGTGTTTACTCATATGATACTAAACATTTTTAATGTCTACAAAACAAAATAATTAGGATAGGAAAAAAAGAAGCCTTTTAGAAAATCAAGCTACCTATATAGAGCTTATGTGAAAAAAAAATAAAGTAACTCCTTTCTGAATTATTGTAATCTCAGGATTTTGCTTTTTTTAAAGTAGGTATCTAAATGAATATAAGTAGCAAATCTAACTAACCATGTTTGGTTAGGGACAACAAATAGTTCTCTGTACTTCTTGGGGTTAGAGGGTACTCAGAAACAAAAGAATTGCTATGAAATGGTTCTAACTATACCTCATACTGAACATTCATTCCTGCTTATAAAATAGAATTGTAACATAACCCAAATAGTGTAAATACATATTTCAATCACAAATTAATAACAATCATTATTATTATTATGACACAAGCCCCAGAAGTATACATATGATTTAAATTACAAATGACAATTATAAAAATTTTGTAGCCATCTGCCAATGGGTATATGGACACAGGAAAGAGTCATTGATAAGACTGGTATAGTCAGGAATGTTAGTTTAACTAGGGACCATGTCAAATGGGTTTATCCTTTTTTTCTGAAAAATATGTTCTGCCACAGCAGAAAAAGGTTTTGGTCAAATCAATGTATTAGCAACTTCTGTGATGTATAAGACAACAAGCTTTTGGGATGGATAAAGCAACATCAGTAAGGTATAGATGAAGAAAGAAGGTGTTAAATCTAAGACTACTACCAGATGAAGAAATTCATAGTCACCTTATCTTGAACCACATTTCTCATTCACAACTTGTGTATATTATGAATTGAAGTAGTACAAAAAAACTTGATGGAAATAGGGATAAATCACACACACACACACACACACACTCACACACTCACACACAGATAGAGGTATATCTCTTCTGAGACTTACATGAACTGATGCAAAGTGAAATGAGTAGAGCCAAGAAAATATTGTGTACAGTAACAGCAATATTGTATGATCAACTGTTAATAACCTAGCTCTTCTCAGCAATATAATGATCTAAGACGATTCTGAAGGACTTATGATGAAAAATGCTATCTCTTTCCAAAGAAAGGGCTGATGGAATCTAAATGCAGACTGAAGCATACTTTTTCTTTATTTTTCTTGGGTTTTTTTGGTCTCTTTTTTTTCCTCACAACATGACTAACATGGAAGTATGTTTTGCATGACTTCACATGTATAACCTATATCAAATTGCTTGCCTTTTCAATGGGTGGGGGGGAGGGGAGAGAGAGAGAGAGAAAGAGAGAGAGAGAGAGAGAGAAAGAAAGAAAATGTGGAGCTCAAATACTTTAAGAAATGAAGGGAAAAATTGTTTTTACATGTAATTGGGGAAAAATATTAAATTAAAGAAAAAATAGTTTTCTAAAGTATTGTTATTTAGATAAGAGATAGGTTCTATAGTTCTATGTTAAAGGAAAGAGGCCACTACAATTTATTTTCATAATAGAAATTACTATTTTAGTAGAATATATTCATCTCTTACTATCCAAATATTTAACATGAATATTTATATTTTGACTCTAAATAAAATGATATACTTTTATATTATCTTTCAAGAGCAAAGAAAACTTAACAAAAATTTTTCTAATTATAGATGAAATATAGCCAAGCAAGAATTCCTTCATTTTTAATGTTACTGATGTTAATATTATTAATCACAATTGTATAAAGTTTGCAAAACACTTTTTAATTATTACTTCCCAAGAAGATATCCATTCTTGTAGTATGCATTTTAACTTTGCACAATATATTTTGTGCTGCTGACATATACTCCTCAGATCACATGAAGGAATCAAACACTAATTTTTAAATTGGTGAATAGCCAAATGGACAATAACAAAAATGTTTTTTGCCATGAAAAAATACAGGATTTTTTGGTGCATTTTTTTGTTTGTTTTTTAGAAATAGCATAGCACTAGATCAAACTTGTATGATTTTGTTAGGTGGTTTCTGTTGTGTTAATAGAATTTCTTTTGTTAAAATCTTTCAATTTTGACAGGAAAGGCTAATATTAATAAAAATGAGTCATCTATGCTTGAAATACTGAGTGGATAATTTAGCTTTCCACTGTTCAGATTAAACAAATTAATATTTATAAGTCCCCTGAAAACAGATTCATAGTTTAAATTTAATGTTCCTTACCTTGCATTGGCAGAGGGTGCATTCGGTACCATGTTTAATCCAAGAAGATCCAGTGAAACGAACCACATGCATTTCATCCAGGCAAGTCTTCATAATGTTATTCCGTATGGTGTCAGCCTGGCAAGGGTCAGTGACACAGCGCGGACAGCACTCATTCTCTGGGAGCATGCTGAATTCACACTCTAAATCTGGGCAAGGCAGAGGCCAGCAATCAACTTCCCCTTTCTATTAAGAAAACATAGACATAATCTCAGAGAAAGGGAATGAGAGAAGGTGAAGTAGAAGGAGGAAGAAAACAGAGTGCTGAATATTCAATACATGAATTTGGCTTTTAAAACCAACTCTAACTGTCAACAGTATAGATCATTCAGGGTTTATACAAAAGTCCTCTAAACAAATATGATTGCAGGTAAATTTTAAAAGTTGTTTTCAAGAATTTCAAAGCACAATTCCCTTTGGAAAGAACAAAATTTCCATGCTGCCTTCCTTTCAATGATAGAAGAAATGTCTTTGAAATATAGAGTTGTGACTTTTTTTTATGTGAGGTGCCTTTTCCTGACTTTTAAAAGTTATTTCCTCCTGCATAAAAAAATTTTGTTCATTTACAAGAAAATCAGTATGTTTTATATATGCATGTATCAATTTATATTGTGTTCACTTCTGAATTTACATGAGTAGAAACATTGAAAAAAATCCCTCATTCCCACACCACATCCAAATTTAATTCAATCTTTATTATTCACCATAAGAAAAATGTATAAATTTGATCTATTTTTTACATGGAGGTATTTTAAAATATTTTAGAAATGTTTTACTACGCATTTCTTAACTTCATGGTGTTGAAGTAGCCTTAAAGTATAGAAATCAACCTTGCTCTTTCAACTGATTTTCACATTAAAAGAAAATGAATAAAAAGATTTGCCTAAAACAGCTATATGATAATAGAAAGAATGCCAACTATAACTTTAAAAGTAACATCTTGAATGAAAAAAATCTTCTGTAAACTACAATTTTCTTTGTAATTTACAATACTGTCAAGAGACACAGGAAATTTCAATAGATAAAATAAGACAGTTATCTCTGAGCCCTTTTTTCCATTATTGTTTCTGCTAGTAATTTCATGAGAATGTACAGAATGGTGTGGATGACAATAATCTCCAAATTGGGGAGCGGGAACCAAACGTTGAAGAAAATTTAAGCATGATTGACAAAAGTGGATTAAAAACACATTATTTAGGAAAAAATTTGTAATTTTGTTTATGAAACTAAAGTTATAATCACAGGTATTTGGGGAGATTTTTGGAGATTTTAACTACACAAGGTAACCAAAGAAATTATTATCTTCTTTTTTTAGAATCATGGATGGCAAATACATCCTCTTACATGTCCTTTGTGTTAGTACATGGTGTCAAAAATAGACAGTGCAGTTTTAACCTCAAACTTTTAGAAGTCATTGATCTATTTCACAATGCCAGTGATGGCTACATCTTTGACTATTTTCTAGGCTGTGGGGAAAATTAACATTATGCTGTATAATAATACAGCCATAATAACAACAACAATAATAATAATAATAATAAGCCAATAATAATGAGCCAACTTAACCAACTAATAAATAATAACCAACTTAATAACTTTTTAATAACTTTAATAACTTTGTGATTCATCCTTTTCCTAACTTTGTCATACCCCACTTCTGAAAAGCAGGCAGTTTTTGAAGAGCAAGATCAAGTAATGTGATCACTCCCAACACCCAAGGCAGCTGCTCAATAACCAGCTTGGGCTGGTCCCCTTCCAAGTGAGACCCTCATTTCTGTTTACCCTGTAGACAGAAAATCATCCCAGTTAGGCCCTTCCCAAAGGACAAGTCTCCTGTCCTTTCTTTCTAACTAAAGTTAAGGGTGACTTGGTCTGCAGTGGGGAAGACCAAACTAGGGGGAACCTGATTGAGATGACTTTTGTTTTTTTAACCAAGACTGCTAGAGGCAGCTGGTTCTCATAAAGCAACTAGCATTCCTCAAGTGTCAGAGAAAGGCATTCTACTTTCCCAATGATGAAGTGATAGGGAGGAATTGAGAACTCTTAACCCACCTCCTCATTAAAATGTCTACCAGTTGGGATTGCCTTGCCTTTGCTAGGAGAGGTCCAAATGATGAACTGTCAGACTAGTCAGAAGGAAGTCACACCTAGGTTTAAAAGGTCCTGTTGGCCTTCACTCTGGGTCTTTGGTCATCAAAAGGCCAATGACTCAAATTATTGGTTACTGCTAGCCTAACTAATAAATTGATTGATCGGGCTCAAAACTTTGTCTCTCAGAATTTCTATCAAGACACCCATCCTTCATTATCAGCTAGCATGCTGCTGTTAATAAATGTTATTATGCATGGAGAATTGCCTTAATTTACCCTTTTGTTAAATTTTATTCACAATATCTGTTTTCTCTTCTCTAGAATATGTCTGTTTTAGAGGTTGTGAGACCCTGGCAGTCAGGGAGATGCACATATTCATATTTACACACACGACTGGGTTCAAATCCTTCTATTGACATTTACTAGTTGTGAGTCTCAGGCAACTCTAGGACTAAAAGTTATAGTTTCAAATGGAAGAGTTCTTAGATTGAAAAAAAGTCAAATGCCAAAGATATGTGATAATTCATCTCACTCAGCCAAACTTACCAAACATCGGCACTGTTGGCAATTCTGTACCCAGGTGTCTCCACTATTGTATAAGATTTCCCCATTCTGATGGAGACATTGACTGGTAACCCTGAGGTCACATTCTGGGCAGCAAAAGAGATCAACAGTGGGATTTTCACAGTCACAGACCATTCGGCGACACATGACAAATCCATTCTGTCATAATAAGAGAAACAGTAGTATCAGTAAAAACCATTATGTTTCTCACTATGAAAAATGCCACGAAGAAGGCCACTTGAGGGTTAATTTTGCGGTTAAAGTGCTATACAATAACAAGGTTTACAACAAATTGAAGTTCCCTGATTTTACTTAAATGTTTATTGTTATAATAATTTTGTCAAAGTTCCATTTATATAGCTTGCATAGAAATGACCAAAAACAGAGAAATTTCTTTTGCAGTTATAAACTGTCCTTCCTATTTTCAACTGACTGAAATAGCCTGAATAAAATACTATGATATATTTCCCTAGAATGTCAGTGATTTCTATCTGAGTACTAAAGTTTCAGTTTTTAGTAACTAATCAGTGTTTCCTTTGGGTGGAATGCTTCTAAAATATGTAAGCCTGTCTGTTTTTCTGTTGTTCAATTGTTTCAGTTGTGTCTGACTCTTTGTGACCCCATTTCAGGTTTTCTTGGCAATGATACTGGAGTGGTTTGCCATTTCTCCAGTTCATTTTACAGATGAAGAAACTGAGGTAAACAGGGTTAAGTGACTTGCCCAGGGTCACACAGCTAGTAAGTGTCTGAGGCCAAATATGAACTCAGGAAAAGTCTTTCTGACTCCAGGCTCAGAACTCTATCCACTGCACCACCTCGCTGCCCTGTTTTTCTGTAAATAGATGCAAATTTCTATCATTAGTAGTTAACATGAAGTACTCTTGATAGAAATGCCACTATCAGTAGAACAGATATTGCAATGTACATCTTTTAAAAATTAAAAAAGAGCTTCACCAAATATAAGGGATTTAACACAATTACATAAGACTAAGATTTTCTACTAGATAGGTGATAAAAAAACATGAACAATTATTTTTAAAAATTAATAGTCATATGAAAGGTGGCTCCAAATCACTAATGATAATAGAAATGCAAATTGAAACAGCTCTGAGGTTTCATTTCATCCCCAGCTAATTGGCAAAGAGGGGAATAGTCAATGCTGGAAAGAAATGATCAATAATCCACTATTTCTGGAGGTACTTTAGAAAGAGAGGTACATTAATGCACAATGTTCAGAAATATGAATTGACTCAACTATTCCTGACAGTAATTTGGAGCTATGAGGGAGGAAAAAGATACTAAAATGACCCAGCCTTTTGACCCACAAATCCTACTGTTAGATGTATACCCTACAAAGGCCAAACACAGAAATAAAGGTCCCATATAACCTAAAATATTCATGGCAACACTTTTTATAATAGCATAAAACTGGAAACAAGTTCATTAACTACTAGCTAATGAACTCAATTCATTAACTGAGGAATGACCAAACAAACTAAAGTACATGAATGTAAAGGAATATTAGTTGTTAGAAATGACAAACATGATGGTTTCAGAGAAGTATGGAAAGACTTGTATAATCTTTTTTTTTGAATTTTTTTTTTAAGGCAATTGGGGTTAAGTGACTTGCCCAGGGTCACACAGCTAGTAAGTGTCAAGTGTTTGGTCTGAGGCCGGATTTGAAGTCAGGTCCTCCTGACTTCAAGGCTGGTGCTCTATCCACTGCGCCACCTAGCTGCTCCAAGACTTGTATAGTCTTAAAGAATGAGGAGTAAAGTAAGTAAAACTACCAAAATGATAAATACAATGTAATGTATAGCAATGTAAATGGGGAAAAAATCCAAACCTAACTTATTTAATAATTACAACAAAGCTTGGCTTTGGAGACAAACTGAGAAAATGCATATCTTTCCCTTCATTGCAGAAGTGAGGAACTATGGGTATAGAATGTTGCATAAGCAGTAATTTTTCTCTTTCTTTTTGCTAGGGGGTGGTTCTCTGGGTTCAGGAATGGAGGGACATACTCAGAAATAACTGTGACGTAAAATATACATATAAAATATTTTTAAATTATAAAGATCATTTCTTTTTCACTAGTATTACACTGGCTTCATTTCTATATAATTCTTCATAAATAACCATGATCCTGAGGAGACATAAGAGTAATCAATAATTTTATCTATACCAACCTGACACGAGCACACGGAACATCTGTCATTATCTAACACCCAAATCTGCCCATTGTGTTTAACTTTTTCATTGTGAATACAATCCCCTGTGCAGTTTTTCCCATGAGGACACCGGCAATCATAACCACCATCCAGGTTAAAGCAAATGGTATCATTGGCACAGCTGTGTCTCCCAGTGCTACATTCATCAATATCTACAGATGAGGGGGAAAAAAGAAGATACTTTTAATACATACTGCAACTACTATAAGAAATCTCCAACCATTAAACATTCAGCTGTAAATTAATTTCTGTTTTATGATTATAAGTCTCATGTTAAATCCTGATTTAAATAAGTAATATCAATAATTTTGTGACATTACTATCCATATATCAGAGGAAATCCTGCCAGGCTTGATATGTAAAGTCACAAAATCTTGGTTAACAGGTTAAATCTTTGGAATTTTTAGATTACTTATTTCATTAACACAAGGAACATGGAGGCTAGGAAACACTTCTATTTTAGGGGAAAATAGTTAGCCCCAGTTATTATGGAAAGTTACTACTAAATGAAATTTAAAAATTGTTCAGATATTCTGGCTAATGCACTAGTCCCGGTACCAAACTATGTTTTAAATGCATGATGGGATTTCTTTTTTTAAAAAAATTCTTTTTTAACTTTTTAAAAAAATTTAACATGTATTACTTTAATTTTGAGTTCTAAATTCTTTCCCCCCTCCAGCCAGCCTATCCTCCACCTGTTGAGAAGGTACACAATATGATATCCATTATTCATGTGAAGTACTGTAAAGATATTTCTATTTTAGCCACATTGCAAAAAAGAAAAAAAAAAGGCTAGAAAAACAAAGTGAAAAAAGATCCTTCAAACTGCACTGAGTTCATCAGTTCTCTCTCTTGGATTATTATATTGATCAGGGTAGCTAAGTCTTTCACAATTGATCTTGTTACAATATTGTATCGCTGTGTACAATGTTCTATTGGTTTTGCTCACTTCACTTTGCATCAGTTCACATAGTCTTCCCAGATTTTTCTGAAACCACCCCTTCATCATTTCTTATAGAACAATAGTATTCCATCACAATCATATACCACAACTTGTTTAGCCATTCCCTAATTGATGAGCATCCCATCCCCTCGATTTCCAATTCTTTGGCACCATAAAAAGAACTGCTATAAATATTTTTGTCTATTTGTGTGTGTATACATACGTTACATATATATATATACACATATTTATACATACGTACACACACGTATGTGTGTATGTCCTTTTGGGTTTTTTTTTTCGTCTTTGGATAGCGCCCTTTTGGATATTGCTAGGCCAAAGGCTATTCAGTTTTATAGCCCTTTGGACATGGTTCCAAATTGTTCTCTAGAATGATTGGACCAGTTCACAACTCCACCAACACTGCATTAGTTTACCTATCTTTCCACATCCCCTCCAGAATTTATTGCTTTTCTTTTCTGTCATGTTAGTCAATCTGATAGGTGTGAGGTAGTCCCCCAGAGTTGTTTTAATTTGCCTTTCACTAATGATGACATTTCAGCAGGACTCCTTGGGCATAATACCAAATTTAATAGACATATCTTCTCCAAACCCCTCCAAAGATTATGTGTCTTTCTCTTTCTCACATTTTCCTTCCCTTTCTAGGTCTGCATTGAATTGAATTGGTCCAGTTATTTTCCCCCACTAATCACTTGTACTTTATCCCTATTTCACTCCCACCTCCATGAATAAACACTTGCAACTACTTTACAACACCCATCTGGCCAATAATCCCATTTAGTCCTTAATTCTATAACTTCTTTCTCTTCTATACTGTGGATCTTTCTCCCCTACCCTATGCAATGGAAATCACAAACCTGTACAATTTTCAAACAGATGAACAGTACGCATATCTTTTCTCACAAATCTGTTCCATAGGAGATATGTGATTAATTTTATTTAAGCATATAATTTCAAAATTCATGAATTAAAATACATTTCAGATGATGAACATACATCAAGATATGTTTTATGTGTGTCAGGAAGCAACTGTTTCTTTCTGTGTTTAATCTATTGTGAGGAAGAGAGGTATAATATCAAATATAGTCATAGACAGTTACTGGCTTTAAGACCCTGGGCAAATCAACAAACCTCTATGCCTCCAGTTTCTCAACTATATAATGAGAATAATAGTAGCATCTACTTCCCAGGGTTGTTGTGAGAATAAAATGAGATAATATTTGTAAAGTACTTTGCTTTTTCTTCTATTGTTATTGTTCCCACTGAGGGGGAAAAACATTATTAAATTGCAATAGGAAAGATCATTGGAAAGACCACCTTTCTAGGAAATAGGATTTGAGAGACAAGATTTCCCCCTCCCTCCTCCGTCACTTACTGTGTGACTGCAGACAAGTTGCTTAACCTCTCTGGGTCTTGATTTCCTCATCAGTTACATGAGGGTGTTGGATTTGATGACCTCTAACATCCCTGCCAGCTCTAAATCTATGATCCTATGACATAAGAATCAAAGGTAGTTATAGACTCTTTTTCTCTGAATGTTTTAAAAATAACGGAAATTTTCTTCAATGGTTTGAGCATAGCATTAATTAGAGGCTAGGATGTAATCTAGGTCAGCGGTCCTTAACGTAAGGGCTATGCACTCCATGGCATCCGTAAAAACATACAGCAGCAGAGGGTGAGGGGCAGTAAGAAAATAGGCTAGCGGCGTTCCTGAGCACAGAACGGCTGGCTTCTAGGGGAGTGTGTGGGCTATCAGCTCCCTTTTCCATTCCCGCATCTTTCCAGGAGTTGGGCAGTAGCAGTGTCAGGTGTCAGGGAATGAGGAAAAGACTGAGAAAGCTGAGTTGTGGTGTTGGATGACAATGGTGACGGGCTCAGAGACAGGACCAGATCTAGGGCCTAGACTAGGGGTAGCAGAAGCTACAAGGGCAGCGATGGAGGCGGATATAGCAGAGCTGAAGAGGTTGAGTCTGGGAAAGCACGGAGGTCAAAAAGGCAGAAATATGCACGGGGCCTTTCAGGTAGGTTAGATGTACATCCCTTTATTCTATCCCTTCAACAGCTGGGTAGCTGTGGAAGAGAGATAAGCTAAGCATGTATATAGCAATCCCTCTGACATACTCCCCTAGCTTGGAACCTATAGGTCTGTATGTTAGATCACTAGATGGGTTATTGTTACTTACAGGTTCCAAATGGGAACCCATAGATCTACACTCAAAAACCTACAGTTCATGAGCTTTCACATGAACAGTTAGCCATTAGGTACCATTAGCTAAAAGCAAAAGCATTTATTTTATAGCAAAGAAAAGATGGTAACTGTAAAAAATTTCCCCCATAAACTTGGGACACATTCTCCCACAAATGAGTAAAGTATGCATGGGAAGATTGGGCACAAACTTAGAGTACTACGGTAGTGAAGTACCCATATAAGGAGTACACGTGGGCAAAGAAACTTATTCTTCTGATATTGCATCCCAACATAATTATTTACAACTGTGCCTTCTGTCTATGTAGACTCCTTTTCACTGCTCCATGGTATTTGAATTATTTCTTTCCAACTCTTTGAAATATTTTCTCCTTGACTTGGTAGGTCTAGAATTTGGCTATATTGTTCCTGGGAGTTTTTATTTTAAGAGTTCTTTTAGGAGATGATTAGTTAATTCTTTCCATTTCTATTTTGTTCTCTGATTTCTAAGATGTCTGGGGAGTTTTTCTTTATTTTTTGTTGAAATATTATGTCTAGGTACTTTTTTTGGTCATGGTTTTCAGATAGCCTAATAATTCTTAAATTAACTCTTTTTCATCTATTTTCCATGTCAGTTTTTTTTCCTGATGAGATATTCCACATTTCCCCTATTTTTTTTTCATTTTTTGACTATTTTATTGTTTCTTGATGTTTCATGGTAACATTAGCTTCTATTTGCCCAATTTTAATTTTTAAGTAATTATTTTCTTCAATGAGGTTTTGTACTTCTTTTTTCATTTGGCCAATTTTGGATTTTCAGGAGGCATTTTCTTCAGTTTTTTTTGTGCCTCTTTTACCAAAATGTTAATTCTTTTCACAATTTTCTTGTATTACTCCACTTTCTTTTCCCAATTTTTCTTATACCACTCTTATTTGATTTTTAAAATATTTTTTTCTCTTCATCTTTCTCTTTAACTCCCCTTGGAATTGTTTTTGGACTTGTGTCCAATCCACATTTTTCTTTGAGGCCGTGCTTGTAGATGTGTCACTGTCTTCTCCAGAGTTTGTCTTGAGCCTCTCTGTCACCATGATTAGGCTTTAATCTATTTTTTAATTGTTGTTTGTTCATTTTTCCAGTCTATTTCTTGACTTTACATTTTATGTTAGAGTTGGGGGTCTAGGGGTGGAGGTGGCGTAGCATGTACACTGTCCCAAGCTCCAGCCTTTTTCACAGTGCTGGCTCTGGGGTTCTCTAGGTTTTTGGTGCTTCCAAGATTGTATGATCTGGCGAGAAATGTGGTCACTGCTCTGCTGGTCTACATTCTGTGCTAATTGAGGAAGGTCCCCTGTTCCTTTGTAACCACAAGCGTTAGTGATCCTTTCTCTATCCTGAAACTGAGACCAGGAACTAGGGCCTCTGCTTCTCTCTGCCTTGGAATTGTGTCCGGGATACCAGGCAGCACCTGGTCCTATACCCAGTGCTAGCACAGGGGTCTCTTTTGATTTTTTCTTTTTTTTTTCTTCTCATTTATTTTATTTTATTTTTGGGGTTTATTTCTTTTTATTTACAGTTTGTGTTCAATGCAAATCAATTCCATAACATGAGAGTAGTTACTATGAATCAAAGCATGAGGACACAAAACACAATATACAAGTACCCCAAACATAGTACAGTGTACAAAATAGAGCATAAAGGAGTGTTCATTCACACACACAGTAGCTTGGGACACTTCTTGAATTAGGAAGTCTCTGGGTTGGCTACAAAGGACAGCAGACTTTCTTTGCTTTTTTTATGAAGTTAAGATACTAGTCATATTGGATATCTTAAATCTAAGCAACAGTGTGTGACCATTGAACCAAAAAAAAAAAAAAAAAGATTTCTTCAGAAGGTTTTAACATTGCAGCAGTGGTGTTTTTTTGTTTGTTTTTTGTTTTGTTTTGTTTTTTAAAGCAGGAAAGCAGAAATATCTGCTTCCCTGAATGAGGCCAACATTAGGCTTAAT